ATGACAAGAGTTCAAAAAGGTAAGCATGGGGGGAGAAGATTCCATTTATATAGGCCCTTTGACCCCATGATTACGCACGAAGCACGAAAAGACGCATTTAATGCGCACAATCTCCAAGCGACGAAAAAATGGCTGACAATTGAAGTAAATGATTAGACAGTTACAAACCCTTCCATCTTCTGACGACATGTGACCTTTCCGTGTGAAGATCAAAGGGCTGGGGGCAGTTGATGGGACATTTTCAAAAGGGCCTTAAATTGGTGACAAGTGTCCTCGGCGCAGGTTTCTCATCTCCCTCAATGCCACCTTTCCTCGGCCCCGAAGGCCACCGTTTAAACTTGGTACCGATACATGTCCCTCGGCTACAGGACAAGCCCCCTCAGTCCCGAGGGTACTTTCTATGATCTCGCCCACCCGTTTTAATGCATGTCCCTCGGCTCATGAATCCTCGACTCCTGTGGAGGCTAGGGACTGAAAGATGGACAACCTAAACTAGATTAGGGACTGCGAGGACATCCTACATAAAGCAATCAGGGTGATAGGTTGAGTTGGACATTCAACCAAAGAAAGTCAAACACGTGGCAACGAGTATGGTATAAGGAGTAAAAAGACAAGTTTGTCCCTGTTGATATGCGACCAATAAAGACACGCATTTAATGCGCCATCAGTTGACAAGATGTTTATCGTGGCTTGATAAGCCAAGAAGTTACAACATTGAATGCTTGGGGATCTGGGCATTTAATGCTACCATGTACAAGAAGGAACATTAAGTACTCGACAGATTGAGCAATCAATACTAGGACATTTCCCATCAAAAGTAAGGGGCACACTGCCCCACTTCTTAAGGCTATCCGTAGCCTAGGTTGTCAGCAATGATGAGCCTTTGAAGGTATAAATAGTTCTCAAAAATAGGGGTGTTCAAATTTTGATCGGCCACAAGTTCCTACCCTATCCGACCCTACCCTACCTTACTGAAGGGTTAGTCGCAAAAATCGGATAAGAATGCAGAAAAATTTTTGGTCTTCCAAAAATTTTCGGGTAGGAATGCGGAATAACCATCCATTTTCGCATTCCTACCCTACCCTACCCGCAATAATTTTTTAATATATATATATATATATACTAAAAAAACCCCTAAACCCTAGCAGAGCAATTATGATTTTAATGTATTTCATATGGTTTAAAGTTTAAACTTAAATTAATTGTTATTATATTTATGTAACAATTATGGTGGATTGATGTTCATACTTTCTTGTGTTTTATTATAATTCTTGTTGTAGTTGTTTTAGATTTTAGTGTTAATTAATTTATTGTGTTGTTAAATTGGTGCATGTTATTTAATTAAATTGTTAAAATGATCCAAAATTAATTGTTACAAAAATATTTACCCGACTTCTTACCCGATTAATTGGATAGGAAGTCGGGTAAGAATACCACACCTTTCGGGTTGGGTAGGCCAAGAAAAATTCTTCCGCAAAGTATCGGGTAGGAAGACGAAAGAGCATATTTCCTACTCGTAGGGTAGGGTGAACACCCCTACTAAAAAACACATTGCAAAGGTATGCAATATTGCCTTACAAGAGCCATACAATGTTTTATTCTTCCCCTATCAAAGAACTGACTTGACTGTCAGAGGGGATACACCGGAGAACACTTCGGCACCTTTCTAACCTGTTCTCTATGTTCCAGGAATTTCTCGAGAACCTCCAGAATCGGTTTGACATCACCAGAAGTAATTTATCACCAGTCCTTAGGTCCCCTTTGACCCTCTCAACCTATTCCTTGTTGTCGGATCCACCGTTCTGACGGGTCGAATCTCACCGTAGGAGAAATCTGTTCTTATTTCAACGATTGTGCAAAAATCTATACGCACAATAATATTCCGATCTTTATAGTCAGTTTGCACCTCTACTCTTTCATTCCACCATAAAGCCAATCCTCCAAATAACCCAATAGGGTCAAGATACACAACATTTTTATAATTCAAAGAACACCGGATTCATTCTAATTTCTCCGTTTTATTCTTGATCTTTATAAGAAATACCAGCAGTGGATGATGGGATTGAATGATCCCTCGAAGTGTCCGAACTGTCCTAAGTCGCCCGACTACTTGATAGTTCCAAGAGATGGCTAACATGGCTAGTGTGGCTGTTGAGGGCTAGCCACCACTGCCGCTGCTTTAATAGAAAGAGCTTCTGGGTCATCCGGAAGGGAACTAGGTACTTGTGATATCCACTGGGACAGACTAATCTGCATATTGCTTTCATCTGTATCTTCTGTTGCGCATTCAGCTTCTTGGATCTTCACATTAATCAGGTTTCAAAGAGTATCTCTTGATGGGGGGATGCCTTTTCCTTATACAGTTATATATTGTTTCACCTTTGCCTTACCCCGAATCAATTTCTACCGCTGACCTTTCCCCTTAATATTTCCCAAAACCTTAGGGAATGAGCTGATATACTGGGCCTCGTGAGAATTGCTCGGAGATAACGTCATATGAAAGTCCCCAATTGAGGTTGGTTTTATTCTCTTACACCCACCATCGTCCTCTTCCTCTTTACTTGTAAGGAAAATAGAGGACTTGCATTTTAGACATACTTTCTAAAAAAATTAGGCCAAAGTTTTCTCAACACCCTTCGACTTAAGGGAAACAAATCGAGCGAGCTATTTTCTATTTATGATATATGTCTCTTGTGACAATCAATGGGTCAGTAGCTTCCAAGAGAGGCCTTGGGATAGTTAGAGCAACTCTAACGGGAGTTGCCATCAGGGGTGCCATCCCCATAACCGCTATAATGGCATCCCAACTGTAAAAATTGGGACTCCAACGGAGGTGGCAAAATGACATCTAGGGTTTTGGGGTGACATATTTGGCAACTTTGGAGAGAGAATAGAGAGGTTGCAAAATAGGCGTTGGTGGCTACTGTTCCTCAATGGCTATATTCCACCCAAAATTTGTATAAAAATACAGAGAGAGGAAAAGGGAAGGTAAAAATTGCCTGAAATCGATTGCTTCCAGAAAATAGCTCCCTGAATCCTTACCTTTGATATCAAAAACCCTAGCTTCCCTGACCCTTGCCGTTGGTGTGCTCTCATAGCCCATTGCCGTTGTCTGGTCTGGTAAGGGGAAGGGGGGGAAGGGGAAGGGGAAGGGGTCTGGTCTGGTCTGGTAAGGGGAAGGGGAAGAAGACAACTGAAGGAGAAAGGGGTAGGAACCATTTTATTTAGGGGAAGGGGTCTGGTCTGGTCTGGTCTGGTAAGGGGAAGGGGAAGAAGACAACTGAAGGAGAAAGGGGTAGGAACCATTTTATTTTGGGGAAAGGGGAGGAGTTGTAATTTATAATTACATCTACCCCCTATTCTTGTTTTAATTTATAAATTCTAGTTTTAATTTACAATTTATTATTACATTTGCCTCCATGTTCTTGTTTTAATTTATAAGTTCTAGTTTTAATTTATAATTTATAATTTATAATTACATTTGCCCGCATGTTCTTGTTTTAATTTATAAGTTCTAGTTTTAATTTATAATTTATAATTTATAATTACATTTGCCCGCATGTACTTGCTTTAATTTATAAGTTCTAGTTTTAATTTTTAATTTATAATTACATTTGACCCCATGTTCTTGTTTTAATTTATAAGTTCTTGTTTTAATTTTTAATTTTTAATTTTTAATTTATTATTTTATGCCCATTCTTTAAATTGATTATATTTTTTTTTGTAGATGAATTCGCAATTTGTCGATTCTTTCACTGATTTGCTTATGAACGACACCGATTTATATGATGATGCTATGCAGACCAATCTCACAGTATTGGCACTTGTACAAAATGAAATCGTTCCAAGAGTGAAAAAATCGCAAAGGACAAAAAACTTCTCTGCATAAGAAGATAAATTAATTGTGTCTGTGTGGCTTAACACGAGTAAAGATGCAATTACTGGGAATGAACAACAAGGTGGTACTTTCTAGCAAAGAATATTGCAATACTTAGAACTTCATAGAGGCAATCAAGAAGAGCGTTCGCAATCTTCTATTAAAAGTCGTTGGACTGATATAAATGCAAAATGCGACAAATTTGTTGGTTTTTATAGTCAAATTGAAAGACTACGACAAAGTGGACACACCGGGCAAAATAATGTAATGATTAAACTTTTAATTTAGACACTACTATGATTTGATATTTGAACTATTGACTGAATAATTTCATATATTTTTCAGGTTGATGACGCAAAAGAAATGTTTGCTAAGATTATTGGAAAACAATTTCAATACGAGCATTGTTGGAATATATTGAAAATGGAGCGGAAATGGACTGCTAATCTTACCAGCAATAAGAGTGCAAAAATTCATGAGACTGGTAGTCCTACTAAATCAACTCATGAAGAATCTTGCTATTCAACTCCATATTTAGGGGAAGACACTGAACCGTTGTCCACTCCCAACCTCAATAGGCCATTGGGCAGAAAGGCTTCGAAGAAACAACTTAAAAATAAAGAAAAGCACACCGGTGTTGAAGCATCACTAGATCATCACCATTGGACTGAAAGAATGGAAATGGAACAACAAAAAGTTGAGCGACATGACAAAATTTATGCTCAACAAGAGATAACATTGGAGCAACATCGTAGACAGTTATAAATTGAAGAAAGACAGGTACAAGAAATTGAAAGGCAGAATAAAGTGCAGAATGAAATAAAAATCATGGAAACTAACACTATTGACATGGACCCAATTTCTGCAGCATATTGAAATAATCTGAAGATGGATATAATAAAAAGCAGGGCTTTAATTTTTAGTTGTTATTTATTATGTTGCTATTATTTATGAAAAACTATGTATTAAAAATACAACTTGAAATTGAAATTAGAATTGAAAGTACAACTTGAAATTGAAATTAGAATTGAAAGTACAACTTGAAATTAAAATTGAAATTGAAAATACAACATAATATGGTCATTGAAATTTAGAAAATTATTAGTCACCATGTCGTTCTCACAAATGCTTGATAAGATCTGACTGCAATTGAGAATGAGTAACACTGTCCCTGATCTGACAATGAATTTGCATGAAGTCTTCCAATTCTGTTGTATATGCATGCGACACTTCTACAGACAGATTTGCATCACTTCCATCAAAGTCATTGTTACCAATATCTCCTTCATCTTCAATGACCATATTATGCATTATTATGCATGCTTTCATAATATCTACAAGTGTTTCTTCATCCCAAAAGCGTGCTGGTCCACGCACAATTGCAAAACAGGCTTGAAGTACCCCAAATGTCCGCTCTACATCTTTTCTTGTCGACTCTTGTGCTTTAGCAAAATATTTTTTCTTCAAACCTTGTGGACAGGGAATTATTTTTATAAATGTCGACCAGTTTGGATAAATACCATCAGCTAGATAATATCCCATTGTATACTCATTGCCATTAATTATATAGTTGACTAAAGGAGCATGACCATTTGCTAATAATGCAAAAACAGAGGACCTATCTAGAACATTTATGTCATTCAGCGAACCAGGAAGCCCAAAGAATCCATGTCATATCCACAGATCTTGAGAAGCCATAACTTCTAAAATGATTGTTGGTTCATGACAATGACCGGTATATATACCTTGCCACGCGGTAGGACAATTTTTTCACTTCCAATGCATGCAATCAATACTCCCTATCGTGCCGGGAAAGTCACGTTGTTCCCCCGTCTGTAGCAATCAAGCAATATCGATATTGTTTGGTGACTTCAGGTAATGGTCGCCAAACACTGCAATAACAGCTTTCACAAACCTTCTTAGACTTTGTATGACAGTGCTTTCTCCAATTTTGATGTATTTATCCACAGAATCTGTCGGTGTTCCATAAGCAAGAATTCTATAAGCAGCTGTTATCTTTTGAAGGGATGACAAACCGAGAACTCCAACGACATTTGCTGTTTGGATGAAGTATGGATCGTGTTGTTCAACTTCATTTACAATTCGGAGAAAAAGAGGATGACTCATTCAGAACCTCCTTCGGAAAAAAACCTTCATATACATAAGGGGTAGCAAAATAGTCACGATAAAGTCTTTCGTGACCTTCAACTCTACCACGATTAACTATTCTGTGGCCTGGAATGGAACCGCAATGCCTTCTTATCCGTCCCTGACTAGACCCTTCTGACCTTCTAGTTGCAGCATACAATATATCAAAGTCATCATTATCTTCTTTTTCAATATTAAGGATCTCTCCTAAAATATTAGGATAATGATTCATGTAACTTGATGAATGAAAATATGAAAAGATAAATAGTCAAAGAGAAATGAGATATTGAATTTATAGAGAGAATGTAAGATAGATGGATGAAAACATGAGAAAAATGATCTATTTATAGACGAATTCATACTTTTTTTAATTTTTATTTTGGCGGTTAAATTTTCAAATTTAAATTTCAACGGTTGAAATTTGAAAATTTGAATTTCGACGGACAAAATTTAAAATTTGAAATTTTGTCCGCCAAAATTTGAAATTTGAAATTTGAAATTTAAAATTTTTACTATAAAAATATATCTGTTAAATTGCGATCGTTATGAAAACTATACCCGTTAAAATATAACCGTTAAGTTTAATTATATTTTTTAATAAAAAATATTAAAATATTAAAATGACACTCCATTTTGACACCTACCATTAAAGCAGAAACACTGTTCAGGGGTGCCAAAACACTGTTCAAGGTTATAAAATAGCATTTGACACCCCATTTTTGGCAACTCCCCTTGGAATTGCTCTTAGTTCCAAAATTTCGAGCTCATTCTCTCCATTTTTGCTTTCTACAACTACAGTTTAGGAGGTCTAATTGTATTGTGTCAAGTCATGTCATTTTAGATTCGTGTCGAACACTAATCAACTCTAATTCAATCTGTTTAATTAATCGTGTCGTGTTTGTGTTGACCCTCGAATAAAAAATTTAACGCTCAATTTTATGTCTAAAATTTTATTATCACATAGTCAAACCTATTTTCACACTTTTTTTATAAACTAAAAATTAACTTAATAAATGTAATAATAAAAAAGAGTAGTTTTTTTTTTGTACAAGATTTAGGTTACCATTTGATAAAATATAATAAAAAATTAGTATTTTATTTTAATAATACTACCTAATATATTATCGTATAATTTCGTGTTATTTTTATTTGACACTAACGCAATTTATTTATTATTTGTGTTAATTGATCGTGTCATATACAGATTTGTATTGAAAAACAACCAACTCTAACTCACTACTTCTGTATCGTATTTTCGTGATGTGTCAGAAATTACCGCTCCTAATTTATATTACAGAATTTTCGTACAAACGGAAATTGCAGGTGCTGAAAATCCACTTTGAAGAACTCAAAAGTTCCCCCTCCTTTACGCAATCGATTAAAGCATTCACCAATTACCAAGTGAAAAAGACGACCAATGCACAAAATTTTTATGTACATCAGGTTTTGGAATAAACAAGGAATAGACAACCTTATCTGTATTAATCATTCATTTCCGGACTCGAATCCACGACAGATTGAATCAGCTCAAACATCAGAAAGACGGCGCAGATTAGAAAAACCAACCAGATACATACACAGCAAAGGCACTGGAACAAAAGAATGGTACTGACAATATATAAAACCTGAGGCCTTTTATTACTGGAAACAAAGCAGTTGCATAGTACAATTTAGAAGCAGCAGAGACTGGCAAAAATAGGACTTGGTAGTCCTACCAAAAACTAGGACTCGGATAAGGAAAAAACAACCAGGTAAGGTTGTCATGGCAGCCAAAATGAACAAGTTGCCATGGCCGAGCCCAAGAATCACCATCATCCACACATCCGAACCTCCCCAATGCAACTACACACCTTGACCCCAAAGAAGAAATTGTACAAGGAGCCACCCCAAAAAACTAGCGATTAAACATGTTGTGGACTCTTAAAACAGACACTACAGATTGACATGTACTGACCCAACCCAAAAAGGCTTTGTGAGGACTGAAAATGGAGAGAGCTTATTAAGGAAACACGCCATGAAGGCAACAAGTGACAAGCAAGTAATTCGAAACCTTGGATCAAACACGACCCAAAATGG